CCCCCCTTCAGCTCTTACAGTTTGCAGGGATTTCATCCATTGTTGTGCAGAAGTTTAAACATGCAGCTTTGTCTAAATACTGCACTTCCTCCTCCATCATATATGGAATCCCACATGATGTATACTTTTTCTGTAATTAAGTAAGAATGATGTGCCAGGGATGCTGCGAAGCTCGAGAGCAGAGCTGAATTATTTTGGAGCAAATGATGACACTTGTCGTAAAATTCTGTTGAAATACTTTACTTACAAGCTTGCTCTGAATCTTTAAGTTGCGTTTGAAAGATTCTGAGAAGTGGAGACACCTCTTTTTGAGTTATCCTGTAGTCAGTCTTTAAACACCTTATTTTATTTTTTTTTTTCCTACAAAGGCCTTCAAAGCTTTTAAATTTTCTTAGAAAATGGATTTAATGGCAAGTCATTGCTGTTGTTTGCAAGGCTCTGGTCTTGCTAGTGTAGACCTTGCCAGTCAGGTGTTGCCTTTGTAATTAATGATGATCAGCTTTTTATAGCATAACAGTGTGACTTAAATGACTCCTTAGAGAAGGAGCACTATATTTCTGTGTTCTTTTTCAACGAAAGAACCGATATGAATAACATCAAGTTTGAAGTTTGAAATTTTTTATGCTAAAAGAGAATTAATAGTAGACAGATATAAATAGCACCTTTTTATGTAACTACAGCTTTCTTTGAACTACTTAGCCTGAATTTATGTCAATGGCAACATTCAAATTGGTTTTTAACAGAGCAAGTGCAGGTCTTAGCAGACCCTATCTTGTAAATCCTTAGCTATACATATATTTTTTTTTCTCTATAAGTAATATTTTATTTTCTGTAGCATTACAAATGAGCCCATCATGTCAGGTTCTGCTCTTACTGTATTGAGACTTTTTCTGCATTAATACCTTATTTAAAAATGTTTCATGTTGATTTGAAATAGATGATTTACAATATTAATGAAAGTGAGAGCAGATTAGTGTACTTGGGTTCCTCATTATGTATTGGGATGACACACTCACTCTCATGCTGTGGTGATCAAGTCCTAATGGAATTTAAAATGAGAAATTAATTAACGTAGAGAAAATGTATAAAAAGGCTTGCTTTGAAATAATTGTCTGTCTGAGATCTAAAGGTCACTTCAATAGGACCAACTTATCTGTGTTTACTTCAGAGTTTGAGAAAACATTGTTATTCTCTCCAGCTATATAAAATGTTAGGATTTGATTATGTTTTACTTTAAGGCAAACCCACTCTTTTTCTATGTTGTAATGTGTAATTGCATCACACTTGTCATGATTTTTCTACTTGTGTAGGTTTGTTTGCACATACACTTTTTCTTCCAGTTATACTTTAGGGAACTAAAAATTAGATTGAAATTATTTTTAGTATATCTAATTTACCACTAAATTTTCTATTCCTTTGATATACAGGACTTTGTAGTGCTTTTGTTGCTTATTAAACATATTGGATTGACAGCTTTGAAGTTTGAAGTGGAAGGGCTGATCAGCTGTAAATTCATGCATCTGACAGTCCATACCTCCTAATCCCAGAGAGCTCACTGCTGCTGGCAACATGTTGCTGGTCTGATGAACAAATGAATCATTTGCTGTTCTCACATATGCACAGAGTTATCACTGTGATTAGTTAGTATACTCATCGGACTGGTAATCTGTAAGTGTTCTTGGAGACCTTGCAGTGTTTCAGCTTAGGAGTAAAAGGAGAGTTGCAGACTGATTACAGAAATGTGATTTGAAAATTCTTTTCTGTTTGATGTGGTTAAAATTATGACTGAATGTAGATGATGAAGCAAGGTTAAAAGCTATGCCTATCTTGTGTGTGCCTTGCAAAAATCACCTGGGTTATGCGTAACAAAGCACGTGCAACAAAGCTACTATGTCTGCTCTGAGCATAAAGGTAGACTCATTACAGAAAAATTCCATTTTGCAGATTTGAAAAAATGGGTATAGCCTGTGATCATCCGTGTCACAACTCCCTGAAGACAGTGGAAAAAATCTGCTTATTCCAGGGATGCCTAAGCTGTCTCTGCTCTCTGTCCTCTTTGGCCTGGAAATCATACGATCACATTAATATGTTGTTGCTCTGAGTTCATAAATCCCAAGAGAAACAAGGGTTATCAGTTCCAGGACAGCATCAAACTAAAACATACACAGTTTTTGTATTAGAACTGGCTCAGAACGCAAGTAAAGAAATAGCAAGTTTGATTTGCAAAAGGCCATGTAGACATACCTACTTTTTTGCCTGCGTACATGATAATAGAAATTTTCTACTTACACACTGTAATGGATTGGAGGAGTACACTAGGGCGAAAAGGTGCTTTATTTTTCTAATGTCATTTATTTCTTAGCCTTCTGTTGAAATGGTTTAAGACGTTATCAGTTGGAATGATAACTTTCAGTAGGAAGTTCTTGTAAAACCTAGAATTTGAAATTTTAATCCCTGTATGCATCTCTAGGTGAGTTATTCCTTAGTAAAGAACTGTCCTGTGCTACCTGTCAGTTTATTGCAGGGTCTCTGCAACCCAATTCCTTTAAACAATTAGAACCTTGAATTCAGTGTAATGTATATATATAGTAGCAATGTACTGGTTTAGTCAGTCTGCACCGGGCTTGATCATAAAATCATAGCTGATCATCTGTTCCTTAGGTTTCCAGATTCTTGCTTAATTTTAAATAGTAATTCAAGAATAATTACTCATTTCTGAAAAGCTTAGAAAAATACCTCTGTGTGCGTGGAACTAACTAAGGTAATTTGCATCCCAGTTCTCTTCTGTAATGGAAAGAAGTGAGAACAAAAGCTATTTGGCAGTTGGCTAGATACGTAGGAGCTCTAGAAGTTTTACAGGACTAAGCTGATGAAAGATAATGAGATTTCACAATGCAGTTTTGTTGTGGGGATTTCTGTTCCATGTCAGCTACATGCACAAAAGCCTTCATTGTTAGTACTGTTTTTAGACAAGGGTGTAGTGAATTTATCGGCATTAATTGTATTTCATTAAAATTGTCTTTCAGAGTTCTTAGCTCTGCTGGAGGCTAAGTTCATCAATTATCCATGTCTGATGTGTCTTCGTGCAGAAGGGCAATGGTTTTCATGAGGTGCAGTTAGGGCATTCAGTTGAGAATTTTTTCTGACAAATAAAGGAATATGTAGAGTTGTGATCATCTGTGATGAAAAGTGCCTTTATTTTTGCAATTTCCCACAGGAATTGTACCTACTCATCAGTCAATGTTTATTGGAGGGGGGGAAGACTAAGCTTCTTTTAGTGTTAAAGCCTGTTGCTGATGTGCTTTGCTTAAGAAAATGAAGTGATCATGGAATGAGTTTTACTTTGGACATGTTCAGTTTAACTTTTGAAAAATCTTTCATTTACTGGTGGGGACTGTGAGTGACAGCTTAATTCATGGGCATGAGCATTCCTATGAGTGTCCACAGGCTGCAGATAAGCAGGTGACTGTAATTGGATGTAATTTGGATGTAAGAGCTTCTAACATACCCCCCTTTTTTTTTTTTTTTTTTTTTTTTTTTTTTTTTTTTTTGATTTTAACTAAAGTTGCTTGTTGTGTAAGAATCCTTCATACTACAACCACTTTTTGTTCCTGCAGCATGTTTTATTGATCTAGGAATGCTGTGCTTCGTGTCTTCAAGTTTCAAATCTGCTGCTTGCATCCAAGTGCGGGTGATAGCATTTAGTATTACTTTTTATTTCTAATTACTGCTGTTCTTTTCAGATTTCCTTATTATTAGGGGAAAAACCCACATACAAGTTCAATATATTTTTCACCTGAAAAGGCAAATAATCTTCATACTACTCCTTCTAGTGAATTCCCATGAAGAGCTTCCAGATGCAGTCATTATCAGCAGGGAAGCTGATGGTGGGGCTATAGTCTTTATCTGATATAAATTTATAGCTCCATTGAGCCTATGCTGAGCTGATATCATGGCGACAATAGCGCACAATGTCTTTGTCTTCCGTAGGTCTGTAAGGTCTTGTACCAACTGAAGGTCTTGCTTTTCCGTCTTCTAGGACAGAAGCAGATAAGAAATAGCTGTTTTGTACATATGTGTTCTGGATTCTGGAATCACCTCTGCAATGTCTGCTTGCACAGAAGCATCTTATGCTCATATATGTAGACCTGAATCTTCATGTCTTCTGAAACACTTTGGCAAATACTGATCACTTATAATCATTCCTTGGATGAACAGGGTTCTGCAGAAGCATTTATTTTGTGTGGTGCCTTTCAACTTTTTTTTTTTTTTTAATTAAATTTAGCTTCCCTAAATTTTTTCTGACATCACTGCTCTTTTAGTATAGAAGATATTTGGGTATTTTCAATAGCTCTGTATTTAAATGCCTTTAAACTAAGCCTAATATGAATAGTGTTAATGCCTATATCCTTTTTACTGCCAGTTAGAATATTCTTAGCTTTCATTGACATCCTACCAAAAGATGGATAGTCCTAAAAGATATGAGACTGACCGAGTAGACTTCATTGTCAGGGGCTATAGAGATTCCTAGGTTGCTACAAAGCATTACGTGCTGCTCCAGATTCTCTTTTCACTTCTCAAAAGGCAAGTACAAGTATTTAACTAAAGTATCCTTCAGGCTTCTGAATCACAGAATTCTGTGTTCATGGGGCCTGGTAAAATAGGTAAATACTGGTAAATAGAATTTAATGAGAGGGGAACATAAGTAAAAAGGAAGGAATGAAGGAATTTCCCTAGGTGAGCTCTGTATTCCATGCTGAAGATAGCTCTTAGGCTCATTCATATGAGTTATCTGCAGCTTTGCCATCTCGAGTCCTCAAAAAATAATCTTGCATGTAGAAGGTCTGTGAATACATACAAATGTTATTTGAACAAGAATATTTTTTTCCAGTCTTCTATTTAAGCTGTTTGGCAGAAAGGAAGGCAAAGAACAATTGTGGAACTTTCAGTAGCGTTACGCATAACGTGTCTTTTGAGTATTATGAACTGTAATGTATTTTAGAATGAAAAGTAGTAAAATAGAGAAGTGTGGTGTGATAGTACTGTTGCTAATTATTAATGATCATAGAAGGTAAAGGCACTGAGATGATAAATATCTTTGCGGTTCTAGTTTAGCTAAATGCCTAGCATGAGAGGGGAGACATCAGTGAAGTGAGAAAAAGGAAATGGAATATAATCCCTCTCTTTCTTTTCTACTAGGTATGAACTTGTACAGAGAGGCATGCTCACAGCCAAAGACATTGAATTGGTTCCAACAGTGTACACCCGCAACCAGCAACTCGAGGCTGAAAATACGTGTTTGAAGAAAGATCTGGAAAACTATAAAAATGCCGCAAAGTATGTTATTTGCTCTTATTGACATTTTGATATGCAGTAGTAAATGGCCACATAAAGTAAACCCAAGTTCTTAATGGAAATAGTAAGCTCCTGTTTGTTATGCTGGCTGCACACGTATTTACTTCTAGGTGCCACTTATAATTAAAGTTCAAGTTTCTCTGAACTCTCAGAAACCTAAATCTTAATTTCTTTTATTTGTTTACTGAGCTATAGAAAATAATTTTCAATATTCAGTAATCACAACAAACTACTACAAAGAAACATGAGACTATCATATGTAGAACTAAAAAATAAATGGTTTGTGCATTTTGTATTAAAATACAGGACTATAGTTACAGCTACTGAAACTATCAACGTAGGAAAAAAATCACCATAAATTTATTCTTTTTTTTTTTTTTTTTTAATTGCAAAAAAGTATGTCACTCTGGTCCTGGTGGTAAATATGTCAGTGTCAATTACCATCATTGGTTATACCTGTGTGTACATTGTAGTGTTTGATTTTACAAGTCAGTTGTACTTCAGTGATAAGAGAGTTAAAATACTTAATCTATGTGTTGGTGTCCTGGGTTCAGCTACAGCAGT